ACATCGAGAGAACTTCGGAGTTACTGTATTTAAATAGTGGATCCAGGGCCGTCTTTAACGCGGGGCAAAAGGGGCAGCTGCCCTGGGCCCTGTCATTGCTAGGGGGCCCAAAGCAGCTGCCCCTTGAGCCCGCTGGCCGCTGTGGTGCTTGCGGGCAGACCACTGCGGGCCGCACGTTGAGGGGCCCCATCGGGTGGCCCATGCTCTTAGGGCCACCCGATGGCAATGAATCTGCAGGGGCCCGGTCAGCACTGCGGCGCTTTAACAGTGCGACCGGGCCCCCAGTGATGAGGTCAGCGCTAGGAGGAAGTGCAGTCACTTCCTCCTAGCTAACACAGAGAATGCCGCGTGGGAGGGAGGAAGAGAGGAGGAGCGCAGACTGAGAGAGCGCTCAACTCCCAACAGCCTCAGACAGCCACTGGACAGCAGGTAAGTCACCCTCCTGCACCCAAAAGGAATTGTATATTTTTCATGCATGTCTGTTTGTGTGTATATATCTGTCTGCATGTGTATCAGTCTGTGCATGTGTCTGTGTGTGTGTATCTGTCTGTATGTGTATATGCATGTGGGTCTGTGTGTATATCTGTCTGTATGTATATCTGTGTATCTTTATGTGTGTTTCTGTGTGTAGAGCTGTCTTTATGTGTATATGCATGTGTCTGTATCTGTGTGTATCGGTCTATATGTGTATCTATGTGTCTGTATGAGTCTCTGTATGCGTATTTGTGTATGTGTACCTGCATGTGTGCCAGTGTGTCTGTATGTGTTTCTGTGTATCTGAATATGTCTGTATGTGTTAGTGTGTGTTTGTGTAACTGCATGTATGTCTGTGTATGTATCTGCGTGTTATTGTGTGTATCTGCATATATGTCAGGGTGTGTTTGTCTGTTTATCTGTGTTTTAGTGTGTGTCTGCATGTTTGTCAGCGAGTATCTGTATATCTGTATGTGTGCCAGTGTGTATCAGTGTATGCACCTGTGTGTCTGTGTATCTGTCTTTGTATGTCTGTGTATTTAGATGTATGTACCTGTATATGTCTGAGCCTGTGTATGTGTGAGTCTGCATTTGTGTTAGTGTTTGCATCTGTATGTGTATCTGTGTGTGTATTTTCACTAGGTAAAAGTGTGACTATGTCTACGATCTATGTGTGTGTTTTTATTTTTGTGTGTCTTTGGGTGGAAGGCGTGTTTGCATGCTAGAAGGTGGGCGGGAGGGGACCAGGGGGCCCAAGTTAATGCTTGCCCAGGGTCCAGTCAACATTAAAGACGGCCCTGAGTGGATCCAATAAGCTTCGCATTGTAAAAGTAATTTAGATCTGTCACCACCTCTCGGTGAGACAGGAACATGGTCAATAGCTATAAAACGGAGGGTAGGTAAATGATGTTGTGCTGCCAGGAAATGTTTAGCAACGGGTTTATCAGTTCTTTGATCTCTAAATGCAGTTGTGATCCCGGAGCGATTATCACAGCCAGAGAAATACAGTTTTTCCACATTATTCATAACTTGAAAAGTATGCATCACATTCACATTTTCAGAATCAGCATACTCCAAATACAAACATATGTCAAAATCATCCAAATTGGTCCATGGGTTCAAAAGATAGATCGAAGTCCTTTGTGACCAAATGAAGCATGGCTTTTCTGCCCAAAACCAGTTCCACAGAGTCTTCTATCCTGGAGATAATTGGGAAGTAATCCAATTATCTCCAAGGACAGAGGCAAAACTCCATTGAACACATGGCAGCAAAAGACAATAAAACACATAAAATATATAACTGTGCAGCCATTGCACAAAACAGGTACATTCAACATATCCCCAGATAGCTCAGATCTGAGCACACATTATTACTGAATGGCGCTCAGAGCACACACATACAGTTCAATTGCCATGGAGCCAAAGTCTTTCCCATAGTCTTTCATTATACGAATGGGCTCCATGGCATAGCTATCTGGGGTATCACCGCTCAAACAGGGCAAGCACCGAATGACCCGGCTTTCGTGTCTTCGCAGGGGAAAATCAAGCGTTTCAACATGGGGCCATAGTCTAAAGGCAGCAGGCGGGCAACCAGGCTTCTCCAGTGCATAGTGGCAAGGTTTTTTCCGCCACAATCTATATAACATGTGTTGTCATACACGAAATATAGTGGTTAATTGGAATTCTTTTCCCACTGTGTGGGTGGGCAAATGTGGATCCGGTCAACATATGACTGCATGTTACGCAGCCACTGCACTTGTAGCAACCTTTTTTCTTGATGCTAGACGGTTTGGCATAGCAATATCGTAGATCGTTTTTTTACCAGCAAATCCCTCAGATTACGATTACGTCTATAGCTAATAATTGGATTAAGTTTAAACCTATCCGGAAGAGTCTGATCAATCTGAAAAATGTCCCACTGTTTATATATGGATTTCTTGATCGATAGAGTTGCTGTATTAAATGTAAGTGGGAGAAAGATGTTTTTATTCAAACTGGGATTCACCTTATTTATTTTATTAAATTTATTCCAGGCTTTCTTTTTTGCATTAGCAAGAATCCGAGGGTGGAAACCTCTTGCTAAAAAACGGTCCCAAATTTCTTGTAGCTGATGCTCGCGTTTGACCGCGTTGCTATTATAGCTTAAAACGTGTAAGAACTGTGAAATGGGCAATGAGTCCTTAACGTGTTGAGGATGAAAGCTTGTAGCAGACAGTAAAGTGTTGCGATCAGTAGTTTTCCGAAACAAAGTAAAGCCTAGGTGGTTTTATTCTCTGTAAACAGTAACATCGAGAAACTCAATATTGGTCTTATGCCAAGTAAGCGTTAAAACTACAGGAAGTGGTAAGGTGTTGATATAATGAATCATATCTTCAAGTGTAGTTATCGTGCCTTCCCAGATCATAAAGATAACATCTACATATCTTAAATATTTAATTATATGATGTTGATAATCAGGTAGAATATATTTATTCTCAAACCAATACTTAAAACCATTGGCATATGCTGGTGCCATGGCTGCCCCCATGGCAGTGCCAGAGGTTTGTAGATAAAATTGGTCTTCAAATTTAAAATAGTTACAGGTTAGAGCTATGTTCAACCATTCCATCAAATATGGAATGTGAGGACCTTTGTACATATCATCATTTATCAAAATCTCAGATATGGCTTCAATGCCTTCTTTCCGGGGTATTATTGTGTAGAGGCTTTGAACATCCAATGTAGCCAAAATAATATCTTTATCCGTAAGGTCTATATTTTGTATCTGATCAATAAAATGTTGTGTATCACTTAAACAGGTAGGGAGTTTTCTGATGCTCTTATTAATATGGTGATCAATAAACTGAGCAATGGGCTCAATCAATCCATCCTTTGCAGACACTATTGGTTGACCTGGTGGGTGTTCTAAATTTTTATGAATTTTTGGTAGAGTGTACATAACTGGATATTTTGGATACTTCACAAATAAAAATTTAGCAGTGTTTTCATCTAAATAACGATCTGACAACCCTTCCTCAATTAGTTTTTCGATTTTCTTTTGAAGTTTACTAACTGGGTCAAAAGAAAGTTTGAGATAAGTGGATTCATCATTTAGCTGTTGAATAATTTCATTCTTATAGTCCTCGTACGTTTGTATAACAACTGCACCATCTTTGTCAGCTGGCCGTATTATAATAGTAAGGTCTTTCATGAGGTCCCTTAGAGCTATATGGTCATCCTTGGACAAATTGTCCCTATTATAGGGTGGTGCTGACACAATGGAGTTTACTTCGTGGCGTAGAATTTGCATAAAAGTCGTAATTGAAGGATCAGGTGTATGTATATCCTTCTTGTTTCGACTTGGAAACACATGTACATTAGTAGAAATATCCTCCTTTCTTACTTCGTTGCTGAACAACGTTCTTTGTAGTTTATACAAATCAATAGCCATCTCAAATTTCTTAGGTTTAGCGACAGGTATAAATGTAAGTCATTTTTGTAACACAGAGAGGTGGTTGTGGTCCAAAGTCTTTTTTGACAGATTAAAGATAGATATTATCTCTGTTGTCTGGGAGGTTTTCCCATGATTCCTGTATTTCTTGTGACCCTTTTTTTTTTTTTTTTTTTAGAAAACAATTTAAGCCTTTATTTACCAAAAGCTTTAAAAACAAATTGTTTTGTTGTTGCAAACTTGTTTTTATTTTTTTTCCCTCTTTTTTTTTCTTAAAAAGGACCACTCTGTTACAATACTGTAACATACTTGAAAAATAAACAAAAAGATTTTCCAAAGTAGAAATGTTTGTTGGTATTTAACAGATGGTTGTGGCATGGGAATAAAATATACACTTAAAATTTTTGGGAAATATCAGTTATTGTGGTAGTTACCAAAAATATAAAAAAAAAAGAAAACCCAAAACATCCTATACTATCAGTTTACTCCGGAAAGTATGGCTAAACACGTGGCTTTACTGCAGTCTACACAGACTTTATATATCTATCTAAAAATATATTGCAAAGATATTGTCTATGAGTGTCCTAGTATTACACTATAGCTGCAATACCACCCAACTACCTACATATTTGTTGTTGCAACAAACCATTATATATCTTCATGGGAAAAATAAAGTGATAAATTGCATTATTCCCATTTCAAAACCAGTTCACAGCGGAGATTTATTTTCTCTTTTATAAAAAGTCCTTTTTTTGTATGAGGCTCTTGGTGGGGTTTTTTGGGTGCGGGGTTCTTGTGACCCTTTTGTCCGCGCCTAAGATGTCTCTTGTATCTCTTATGTCTTGTACAGTAGTACTGGTCATCCGTGGTGGATCGTTTGGATGTTCTCCTTCCTTTAAAAAAGTAACTTGTTTTCTGGCATGTTGATCATCCCTGATATCTCCATCTGAGGCTGATTCGCCTGAACTTATATCCACAGTTTGTAACAATGGCTTTCTTATACGTGTTCTAAATCTTGGGATAGGATAACGCATATTAGAGTCTGATCCTCTTAACCAGCGGTAGACCTGATGATATTTATAGTCGTGGTTTACCTTCTCTACCTTGACTTTCTTAAAGCGGATAAGATTATTTTGATACTTCTGTATGTCATCTTGTAGTTTTAGCATAAATTCAGTGGATGGCAATGATTGTAGGGCAGTAACGTGGGTAAGTTCAAAATCCTGTATTGATTTTTTAACCTGAATTAATTCCCTTCCAACCTCCTCAATCACAATTACCATCCAATCAAGTGAGCATTTGTTGGAAATATTCATCCATTTTTTACAGAAGTCAATGCTCCAACCCTATGGTTGGAGCATTTTTTATACGAAAACCCCTCGGGATTCGTTTTGATCTATAGTAGTCTGACAGAAAGACTCCATGTAGATCTAAATCCACTTCCCGCTTTTTGAGTCTGGGTAAGTCGTTATATAGATCTTTTGCTGTATGAGTATGTGGTAGATCTTGCGAACTACGTGGCCATAATACAGACAAAGCTTTTTCTTCTGTGATGGAGAGAGTTTCCGCTGTCTCCACTAATGCTCCGGCTCGATCCAAAAAATCCTCCATAATGAAAAATCCTGATAGCTGAGCAAATCACAATTTAGGCAATGAAACTTGTATTTATCTATGGGGGTGCTGAAGCAAGTGCCGCGCCTGCACTTCTAATATATCCAACAAATAAGGTAACAGGGCACTCCTCCCTTGCAAAATATTGAAAATGAGAAAATAAATGCCTAGGTGCCAATCCCGCGTTATATATACTAAAAAACAGATAGAGTAGGCACACTAGGTCTTCAGTGAAAAAAGATAGTTATTTAATGTATTATCAAAAAATACATAGACTGTGCATAACAAAAAAATCGACGTTTCTTCAGTCTGTTGGCTGTCCGGTCACTTAATTGGTAAGCGTATTTTTTACTTTATGTATATATCGTGATTGTTTGTACCTGTCACTGTGATCTTGATAAGGGAGGGTCGAAACTTCGATTTTTTTGTTATGCACAGTCTATGTATTTTTTGATAGTACATTAAATAACTTTATCTTTTTGCACTGAAGACCTACTGTGCTGCCTCTATCTGTTTTTTATATATATATATATATATATATATATATATATATATATTTATATATATATATATGTATACACACACACATACACTGCTGTGTTTGTGTGTGTGTGTGAGGGTGCCGTTTGTGTGCGGGTGCTGTGCATGTTTATGTGAGGGTGCTATGTGGGTGCTGTGTGTGTGTGAGGATGCTGTGTGTGTGAGGGTGCTGGTAGTGGGCTGTGTGCTGTTTGTGAGGATGCTGTGTGTGTGTGTGTGTGTGTCTAAGGGAGCTGTGTTCTGTGTGAGGGTGCTGGTAGTGTGCTGTGTGTGAGGGTGCTGGTCGTGTGTTGTGTGTGACGGTGCTTTGTGTGTGTGCTGTGTGTGTGAATTTGTTTGGAGGGATTGTGTGTGGGCGTAGGGGGACTGATTAGGAAATAGCCCCCCTCTCTTCTTACCTTTTAACTAGGAGGGGGATACTTGCTGCCATCTCTGATCCCTGGTGGTCCTAGTTTGACTAAACTCTAGCCTGCAACACTCCGACCTCGCAAGATGAACTCCGCGGAGCTGCTGGCAAAAGCTCTCCGGGTCCTCTCGTTCCTCCCTCCCTGCCTGTCTGCACACCTATGACGCACACAAACATACACACAGACTGCATACATACACACAGTTCGCTGAATACACACACACAGACTGCTGAATACACACACAATGCCGAGTACACACAGACAGACTGCTGAATACATACAGTCTGCTGAATACATACACACAAACACACACACACACGCAGACTGCTGAATACACACATACACACACACACACACACACACACAGTGTGCTGAATACATACAGACTACTTAATACACACACACACACACATACTGCATAAAGGGGTGCAGTGCATGTGTTTGTATGTATGGGTGTGGAGTGTGTGTGTGGAGTGCTGTGTGTGAGGGGTGCTGTGTGTGTGAGGAGTGCATGCTGTGTGTGGGAGGCTGCTATGTGTAAGGGAATGCTGTGTATGTGTGGGGGGGAGGAGTGCTGTGTGTGGGGGGGAGGAGGATGCTGCGGTGTGTGGGGGGTGCTGCAGGTAGCAAATGTGTTTTTATTTTTAAATAATCCTGACCCATATATAAAATCTTTAAGAGGGGGCTACACAGCCAGTCCTGGTGGTCCAGTGGTGGTAAGTATGTGTCTGGCTGCAGCTCTCCTGTCCTCCTGCGCAATGCTGTGTGGAGCGTTGCCACGCATTCCCATGGCAACGCTCCACACAGCATGTTCACGGGAGGACAGGAAAGCTGCTTTACAGGTCCCCCACCTTTTGGGCTGGCAGGTACACACACTGCATTGGTGCCTACCGGCACCAACGCCCCTCCCTGTGTGTGTTCTTATAGAATGTAGTGTATAGGGATACCAATTTGTGTAAGGGGTGTAGTGTGTGTATAGGGGATGCATTGTGTGTTTGTGTGTAAGGAATGCATTGTGTGTTTCTGGTTGTGTAAGGGATGCATTATGTGAATCTGTGTATGTATGTGCAAGGAATGCAAGGTGGGTTTTGGTATATGTAATGTAATTCAGTGTGTGTCTGTAAGGGGTGCATTGAGTGTGTGTAAGAGATGCATTTTGTTTCTGTGTGTGTGTGTAAGAGAAGCAGTGTGCGCGCATAAGGGATGCATTGTGTGTTTCGGTGTGTCTCTGTGTGAGTAGGGATGCATTGTAGGTTTCTGTGTGTGTAGGGATGCATTGTGTGTTTCTGTGTATGTGTAAGGATGTATTGTGTATGTGTGCAGTGTAAAAGAGTGGATTTGTGGGTAGGATAGATTTTTTTTTATAGTGCTCTCCCCTACTGTCAGTTAGTGATCTACCCTCCTGTCCATCAGTGATCTCCCCTCCCCTCCTGTCCCTTTTTAAAAAAAATTTCTTATGTATTTATCAGCTTTTTTCTAACTATTGCTCTCTGGGGTTCTTCATATACTTTATATGTTTCATTGATCTTACGTGCTCCCAAATAGCGCCGTTACAGTCCATAACGAATGCGGCGGGGAGGCTCATCTTCCTGTTCGCCTGCACCTCCCATGCCCTTCTGTCAGCCCCTACAATGGCTTCCTATAATATATAGAGCTCAATTTAAAATTCTGGCTCTTGCTTTCAAATCTCTACATAATGCTGCTCCCACCTATCTATCCTCCCTTATACACAAGTATGTCCCATCTAGGCCCTTACGATCTGCTGAAGACTTAAGTGTATTTTCTGTCTGTACTCCCACCTCTGATGCTCGCCTTCAAGATTTCTCGAGGGCTGCACCGTATCTGTGGAACTCGCTTCCCTCCTCCGTTACATGCTCACTCAGTCTCCACTCCTTCAAAAAAAATCGTTAAAAACCCACTTCTTCATAAAAGTGTATCAATTAAACTGTTAATAGCTCCTGACTGATTCCTCTTCTGCAACTGTCACTAGTCTAATACTATCCTTACCTTTTTGTGTCATTGTACCCCACTCCCTCTAGCATGTAAGCTCATTGAGCAGGGCCCTCAACCCCTCTGTTCCTGTGTGTCCAACTTGTCTGGTTACAACTACATGTCTATTCGTCCACCCATTGTAAAGCGCTGCGGAATTTGATGGCGCTATATAAATATCATCATAATAATTTATCTATATATGAACTTATGAAAACTTTATGATTATTATCCCTTGCTTGTTTATATCTTGCTAGTACATTTATGAATATTTCTGCCTACTGTCAATTCCAAACCATCCTTCTGTCAAGATGGGCATAGGGGTATAATTGTACCATGTACCCTATATTATTTCATTGTAAATAAGGACATACCGATATATTGTAATGTGTATATACATGTACAATCAATTGATGACACTATTGAACCAACTTTAATCAAATTTTTATATTTTTTATTTATGGCAAAATTTGTGGTCATACTTTCTGTTTGCAGGGCAACATTGCCCTTACCTTACATGGACGCTGTAGCACTTCCCATATCAATAAGAAGTGTTTTAATATGTGCGCGGTGACACACGCACGTAACCGGAAGTCGACGACGGCAAACACGTAACCCAGAAGTGGATGAAATCTTGCCGCGACCCGGAAGTAATGTGCATACTTGCCACGAAAATCCAATCAAATAAGGATATAAAAGGGAACATGAAGCTGGCTTCACTTTATCCTGCACTGAGGAAGACTGTCTATAGTCGAAACGCGTTTGCATTGTGGACTTTCACTAGGACTTTGTATTTTGCGGTAGTGTATTCTACTATTTTTCTACACTCTGCTTATATATGTCCTATTATTTTATTATACTATTAATGTTTTAATAAATCATTTTTTGCTGCTACTGCGGTCCTGCATCTGAAGCATCTTTCGAAGCCAGTTATTGGCACCCCAACGCTAACTATATAGAGCCTGGTACGGCTCTACACTTGTGAGTTAAGATCTCATATCTTCTTATACTGACAATATTGTTATACAGATTTCACTATGTGTGACATTATTTATCTTTTGTAGATCTTAAAGAAAAGAATCTCATTGTTACTACTAGACACAATTATTGGAAAGTATATCCATATAAGTGTCACATTTTGTGTTGTATTGTTGTGTTAATTTTATCACTACTATTTGTTATTTGTATCTTTGAGATGATTTAGAACGCCTATATTTATACGCACGCTATAAGTAATTTGAAGCGCCTAGGCACCTTCCAACTCTTTGAGTTTTGTTTTGCAACACAGATTTAGACAGATTTATGAAAAATATTTGAGAGAAACAGGCCTTTTTTGTACATAGAAAAAGTCTTAGATCTTTGAGTTCAGCTCATGAAAAATGGGGGCAAAAACAAAAGTGTTGCGTTTCTAATTTTTTTCAGTGTAGTTCTAGTGTTTTATTTTCAATGCTATTCTCTCTCTTTTTTTTATTATATTCACTGTATAAGAACATGCAAGTTATTTGTAAAAGGTAGTGTGTTCAAAATTACTGGATGTTGGGCAGTCAATATGGAAACCCCTGGAACCAACAGACACATTGCATTGGTGATGCCACCCCTTTTCCACTTTTCGCCACTTTCCAAAAAAGATTATTTTTATACATAACTCCCTGTATCCCTGTTCCCTTAGCTAATGCGACCACGAAACAAGAGTTTACACTCTGATCTACGCAGATCCCCACGTCTTCCCAGGAAGT